AAAAGTGAGGAGGAAAAGGTAAACTTTCATTACATACTTCTTGCCAAAAAATAACCAATTTCTTTACAATTGCATTGCCCTAGTTAAAATGCATTTCACAATTTTTATAAAACGCATTGCATTACTCATGATATTGATGAAAAGTGTATGTTAAATCCCCAAAGGTCTTACGCTCATGAGTAGGATCTAAAATGCTAGTTGAATGTCAAGTGGGTTTCTTGTTCTTCATTTTAGATTTATAAATTGGAATTTAAATGGGATTTAACATGTCTTTGAGATGGGTCTCCAAATATAACACTTGCATTTAAATGATTCTTATCTCATTTTCTCAGTTTTATCACATCATTTTTGCTATACAACATTTTTGAGTGTGGAAATGGGCATTAAAAATTTCAAAACACATTTATTGAAACTCGTCAATATGATAAGCAGAGAGGATAAGGATAGAATATAGTCAAATAGTAATAATTTAATCTTGTCTCTGAAAAAAGTTAACTCACCAATTTGGAAACATTAATATGTAAAGAACAGTTAATGTTGTTTCTGATTTAGTTGGGTCTTTGGTAACAGTGCTTCAAATGATTATTCATTAAACAGCAATGTGAAACTATAAGTAACATCATTTTGCTCTTCCTTCTTGCCAGCACTATAATAAATACTTTTCACACATTAATTTTATTATTTGTCCTCATTCTTAAAAGACTAGTAAACAGTGGTTGGATAGTGTAACATAGAGCTAAGCTAAGGCCTCAAATTTTTCCTTCTCTGTCTCCTGTGTGACCTTGAGTGTATTATTTAATCTTTCTGTGCATTGGTTTCCATCTGTATAATGGGTACTTATCTCATAGAGGAATTTCCAGGATTAATAAATTAACACATGTCACTTGCTTAGTAATTTTCTTAAAAAGTAATAAGCACTCAACACATATCAAGATAGTTTTTTAGTAACTTATCCAGCATGGGATTTGAAACATGAATTTGTCTAAATCTGCAGCTGAGATTTTTTTAACTAAAAGACAACATACTTATTGTTTCACAGAATGTACTTTAGTATCTTATCCATATAAGTAAATCAATGCTAAAATGAGCTAATGTTTAGAGTTAGTTTGTTAAAATTTTGTTTCTCTGTATTAAATTCAACAGTGGCTTACAAGTGACAATGGCCCATATGCTCTTTTCTTACGTGGTTGCCTCTTCTCTCTCATAAGGCAAGCCACGAGACTGGTTAGGGAACTGAAGTTATATCTATTCTTGTACAATATAATTATTCACTGGAATCTAATACATACTCTGAGAAGTTAGTGCATTCTTCTATGTCATTTGCCTAAGAAATATTTTATGCAGAAAATAATTTGACACTTCTTGTTAGTGAATTCCTTTCTCTTCTATTATGGTATAGATTTGTTTTTGAAAGTCTTTTGTATGTCTTCTAAAATTCATGATTCAATGTATGCTGGCATTTACTTATGCTATATATCCACAATTATAGTTTTCAGGCTCATCTTCACTTTAAGATTTGGAGGAGGAGGAAAATTCAATGTTCATCGTCAATCAAAGACTGTACAATAAATATTTCCCAGATGTTCAGCATTAGTGGCCAGTTATTTTAGAAACTTAACATATACAGTGATAAGAGGATGAATCAGTCTCTTGGGAGAAACTCATTTGATTTTGATATTGCTTGTAAGGACAATATCATCCATTACTTATTTTGCTGAACTCTTTATTTGTATTTTGCTACTTAATGCCTTCAATGTGGTTAGTTTATTGCAAAGAAAATGAAGAATTACAAAAATTAAGTTAACTGTACAAAGTCTCACCATGGTGAACACATTGAAGAGCCAGAATGAAGCTCAAGCTCTGACTCCAGTGCCCTTTCGCACTCAGCACCCCGATCACTGCTCTACCCAGTGGACTGAATAGTCTTCCTTGTGCAAACCTGAAACCTGGAGGAGATATTTATTTGATTTCTACCAGCATTCATCTCAGAACAGTCTTTGCAGGGCTTTGAATTCAGTGTACAATTTTTACACAAGTGGAAAGAATCCACCATGGACCATATATATCCTCTTAGTTTTCAGCTAATGTTAGGTTTTTACTCATACATATTGATATGTGATGAATTAATATATCTTCTACATAAAGTAATGCACTATCTCATCAAAGTTCTTGGTACATGCTAGAAAGATAAAAGGTACACACACACACAGACACACACACGAAAAAAACTGTCCTGTTTTTAGAAATTTGTTGCTATCCAAAATTAACAGACCCTTTTAAGATACTGTTTGGTGATTTGCTAAAACAATATAAAATTTCATTTAGCAGCTAAAGTTAAAAAATTATAATGTTACCTACATATATTTTATACTTTTTAATGATTGTGGCTAGCATTCACATAGGATTCATCTAACGAGAGATATCAAATATCCACACTCATCTTTTTATAGAGAAAATATCTTTTTAAATATGCTTAAACTGTTAAATAAGAATTCCAAGCAAAATTTACATCAGTAATCAAAAAACCACCTTTCTTGGAAAAGTTACCATTTTTCAAAAACTATTCTGCCCTGGGTCTTTTAATTCACCTTATTGAAATACATTACAGTGGTTACTGCATTTTTTTCATTGCAAAAAGAAACTGTTTCTCAGTCTTGGCTGCTCATTAGACTTCCATAGGTTTGAGTTAAAAAATAAGATACCCTTGGTTAGACCCCAGAGGCATAGTAATTCCTCAAGAGTGCTGCTGGACATCATTTTCCCTAACTGGTTTTAATGTGTAGACAGAGTGGCTCATTTCAGAAGAAGTTGATAGGCTTTGGAAGAACTTTTTCTACTCTGCAAAATTAAGTGCCATGTGAATCTGTTTCCCTTATGTTACTTTATATATATTAAAAATACCTTCAACGGGGCTCTGGTATGCAGTTTTACTCTAATACCTTGTCGTGAGACATGAAATTATGTAGCTTTGTTCAATGGAAAGAGGTGTTGCTTGGGCAGATCACTTCTGGTCAGAAGTCTAGAATTATGGGATTGTTGGGAATCCTATCTTCCATTTACTGGCCTTAGAGAAACATACAGCCTCTCTGGTCCTCAAATTCCTCTCCACTACAGTCCCTAGCCTTATGCCTTTAACATCCTTTTTTAAAGTTCTTGAAATCTTTCGTGTTCTGTCTGGGACCACTCAATGTCTCACAGTTTTCATTTGAGCAAGATTTTTAAAAAACAATAACTAATGGAATCTATTCCTTTCTACTTTATGACCTTTCCTATGGAACAAAGTTTTCATGCTTTTGGAGAAGTAAATATTGTTGTCCATCAAAGCCTCTTCGAGGCAATTTTTCCTAGTCATTGTGGCCCAAAAGACCAGGCCCACCGACTGTCCAGTCTGAACCCATTATGTGGGCAGAAACTTCAAAGCTGAGCTCTATGCTGTGGGCTTTAATTACAGTTTCTCTATTATTCTTAGCCACAATGAATTTCCTTCATACATCCACTGAATGTAACTGAACATCACAGTTATTTTGTTCTCACATGAGCCTGCAAAAACTTTCAATTCCCTTCTCAAAACATGATCTCAATATTTTCTACTTGTGTAGTCATCATCTAATGCTGAAGAAGTCATGAATCAAAAGAGCAAGTGGCCTATTATTTTCTCTCAGAAATGTTAACATCCTATACATAAAAATAGCTACAAGTCACTTACTATTACCTACATTCTGCTCCTTCAATTTGTTTGCTAAAAAAGAAACAGGAACAGACATTTCTCATGATGAATGTGTACTTGAAATACACTTGGCCTTAAACAAATGAAAAAACAGTAGATGATGACTTGTATGCATCGCATCTGTTCACAAATACTAGTGGCATCATTTATATGAACCTTTTACATATTGAAAACTGCAAAGACTCCTGCTGCGACATTCCTCTTGGGAAGCCGGCTGGTATGTAGTGTTTAATTAAGTATTTTAAAACCATCGTTTTGTAGGCCTGTTCCACTTTAGCTAAAGTTGCGACAGCTTGTCTCTGTTAGTTTAGAAAAAGAAAAGCATAGTTTATTTCTCTCTCTTTCTCTTTTTCTCAGATACACGATATTAGTATTTTTGAATGATGCAAAATAGCCTCTTATAGAAAGAGTAATGCCTTATAAACCTAAGGTATTGTCAAGGTAAACAGACATGTAAAAGAAAAATTTGATTAAAAAAGCCATCTTTTACTACAATTATTTTAATAATGCTACTAGATTATTGAAATAGAACCACACTTTCTCCTTCTGTCACTTTTTATTCAGTGGAGTGGAACATCTACAGCTTGGAAGAAACCAACATACAAGTAGGTATTTCCTCTATATCTGTTAAGTCTTTCCCAGAGACTTTCATCCAGAGAGAATCTCCTTGGTTAGTATTACAAACTATTTTTATTCTTTCCTTGCACTTGTTTATGAATCACTTCCCATGTCATGTTTGTCATCAAGGAAGGGAAATCATATTCATTTTTTCATATTCCTCTGTCCCTCCCATTTCGCTCAATTCAAAGATTGAAAACTAAACTAAATGAAGAGTTGTTTCAAAACTTACTTGAATTGTACATACATTTTTTTCAACAAGATAAATTTTGAAATTTAAACTCTATGGTCTTGTATAAGGATTATATTAATTAAATCTTGGACAAAACACATATATTTTACAGATACAACCTAAAGCTTTTCCCCTGGATGTTTGTGAGTGTTTGGCAGGAGTTCTTAGATGCCTCACAATTTTATTAGAACTGCTTTAATTATTGAATAACAACTTGGTAATTATCTGGAATAGAATTCCAAAATTGATCTGACCTGCATAGTTTAAGCAGTATTCTAGAAAATATCATACAGTTATACAGAAATAAATATTGCTGCTCTTGCTTTCATATCTGTACTTTTACCTTGCATTCCTGAGAGATACAGTTTTTGTTATTTGCCGCAATCTACTATTCCCCAAAATCACTGATGACAGAATGATAATAATATTTGCAAATATTTCCCCTTAAGTTCTTAAGTTTTCAGTCATTAAGAAAGAAAGAAAGAAAGAAAGAAAGAAGGGAGGGAGGAAAGAAGGGAAGAAAGAAAATGTTAAAGGTACCAAGGACATTCTGAGCTTACAGCTGGTTTCAGCAATTTTCACTTACGCAAGACCCCATGTTTGTGAAAACAACCCAAGAATCTTTAAGCAGGATGTAATCAACCTCTGAGCTTCTGAGAAACACTGCAAAAATGACTTCAGCTGCCCAAAATAATAATGTCCTTTACAAGCAGCTCTTCCTATATCTAAGGAAGAGCTAACCACATGTGAGTTTTTGCTGGCTTCTGGGGAACAAGCAAAGAAAATGACAAATCCCATCTACTCCACCCTAAAATATACAGTAAGCACCAGAATCCTGCCGGAAGCTGTGAACCATTCCAAAAGGTGCTGGAAGTATCACAGAAGACTTATATCCAGAATAATTCTGAATGGTAAGTGACCCACAACAAAGGGATTTTATTTGGTAGCAAATCTTTGTTGTCATTTTTCCTTCATAGCCAAGCAAGCTTGCCTTATGAAGGCAGAGCTTTTAAATGCCTGTTAGTCACTAGCTCTCCCTTCCCTCCCTCCCTCCCTCTCTCTCTCTCCCTCTCTCTCTCTCTCTCTCTCTCTCTCTCTCCCTCCCTTTCTCTCTCTCTCTCTTTCTGTCTCTCTCTCACATCAAGGGTTCTGGTGGGAGCATTCAGGAATGATCTTTTAGATAAGTTTCCTCACAGAAGCCCTGCACCTACCTCTGTCAAGGCTTAGCTGTTCAGTCTGCATGGGCTGGATGTGAAAAATGATCCAGTGTGATGGCTTCTCCAAATTACCAGAAAGAAAGGATCTGAGATGCTTGTCCTTTAAGTGTCTCTAAACATGGTTTGCATAGCTGGATCTCAGCTTATCTCTGCCTTTCGGGTTTCGCTTCCATACATGGATCTGTTCCCAACAGTAACTCCAAGCTGTCGAAAAGAAGCTATCTGGCAGCTCTCTGCTTCATCCAACACATGGATGATAAAAATACACATATAGAGATCCTTCCACCCAGGCCCATTTCCCACCCCGTGATCCTGCCACTCTGCATTTTTTCAAATGCGCTTTAAGACTGGCATTTCTGCTCTGCAGATTTTAGAGCACATCTGATTTCTACCTGATTCCCATGTAAACCTTTCAGGCTATGGGTTTGTTTAGCTTATTAAACACAGAGACACTTTATGATTCTTTTACCAGTGTCTTCATCCTTAAAACTTTTAGTAATAAGATGCTTATGGACCTGAAAAATATTTGGTGAATGAATGATTACCTAAATGAGTGGCTGAACAAACTGATAATATTGTATGTGAATAAATAAATATATTCTTAATATATTAAGAATAGTTGTTAATGCTGGATTATTGTCTTATAGGAAAAGGAAGCAAAGAGTCGAAGTACTAAAAATCTCTGAGAATGGAGAGGCGGATTCTGATATAAACAGCTTCTCAGTTAGGGTACTGTGCCAATCCCATTAAGCTACTATTTAGCACACAGTTTGAGAACTAGAAAAGTTTTTTTAATGTTAAAGAATACAAATCTGAAATGATAGAATATTAATTGTTGCTTTTGATAATTGTCAGAGACAGTTAAAATGACACAGTTAAAATAACTGTGACCTAGTTCTGAGGGAGGGAATACAACCCTGCTCTGCATAGTAAGGAGATAAACCCTTCTGGAAGGACTTAGCCTTCCACTTTTGAAAGTTAGCTTTTAAATTTTAAAATTTATCTGTCTTTTTTCCTGCACTTTGTTGTTACTCTTCTATAACAAGAAGTTAAAACCTCTAGAGAGAAATAGGATTTTTCAATGATTTTTCATTTTCTAAAAAAGTCATGTCAAGATTGTTTAGGTTGTTTTGTTTGAAAAGGTAAAAATAAATTTTAGGCATTCAAGGAAAACTTTTCTCTAGAGTAATGAAAAGAAATGAGCTTGCTTCAGATATTCCAGTGGAAAAGGGGAGAGAACAGATGCAGCAAGGTTGAATAGATGTCAGCAAAGTCTATCGTTGTTGTAGGTGATCAGTAGGTACATGGGGGGGGGGTCCTTGTATTACTCTTTTGTGTTGTTTAAAAATTGCTACTAAAATATAAAAGGAGAGAGAAAAAAGAGTGCAAAATATATATTAAATGAAAATAAGTATAAAACATGTTTTCATAAGAAATTGGAAGAATCTGAGAATTGTTGAAAAAAGCACCAAGGTCAAAATGAGACAGGCTGAAATTGTATATTTTTATTCAGAATATTCTCATATTCTGACCTTTCCCTTCCTACTTCCAATAAGAGCTCTTCTATACAATAATTTATATCTAATAAAAATTAAGCTATGTTATTTCAAAGGCCAACCTACTATAGCTCAGGGCTAGCCACAGTCAGTAACCTCCTTACCTGGGAGGCATTCAAGATCCCTTCTCCCTTTTATTCTACTGTGCCTTCTAGCTAGGGAGGACAAAATAACAGGGTTCTAGCCAAGCAGGTTTTAACACAAGCTTCAGGGAAGCTTTTATTGATCTGTTAAAAGGATCCACGTTCAGCATTTACCTCTCTGTATCCCTTCCACTCATTTTGTTTCCATAGAGCAAGTGCCAAGCCTGAAATTGCAGGAAAAAGGGACATGGATGGGGACAAAGGCTTATGAGGAAAGACAGATGAAACAGATGAACAGAAAGAACTTCAGTTCTTCCCAGTGTCATTTAGTAGCTCGAGCAACCCTGAGGTAATGTTCTGGGCGTCTTGCCATATGAGAAAAATAAAATTATATTTAATATAAAAACTTGACTCTAGATTATGAATTCAAAACTCAAAAGGCTGTACTCTGGTTCTTGCTCTTTTACTTACTATGTATATGATATTGATCATGGCAGACTTCTATTTCATCCTCGATAGAGGGAACTTTTGATCTTAACATAGATTTATCCTACAAAATGATGTGTGTAATATATCTTCATACACTGTAAGAAATATACAAGATGGTTGATATGTAGGACCCACAGTGACTCCACAGCTAAATATAACAGGACTGGGGAGTCTGCTTTCTGTCCAGAGGAGAATTCACAGGTCCTTACTTTGACTGGCTTAACTTCAAATGCCTTTGGAATTCTGCTCTGAAGTTTGCAGCATCCAAAGTATGGGTGCTTAGGTACTTTAAATTGTTTACCATTTTCGGTTTGCCAAATCAAATCAGCATGTTCCTGATAAAGTTTGCTTTGGAAGTGGGATACTTGCCTTCCTCACTTCAGACAGACAGACAGACAGACAGAATTCCAGGGAAGAAGAAAGCTCAGGAGACTCATTTCTGATCTGGAGGACCTGTGTGTTCATGTACAGGAAAAATTCCTTATAAAGATGTTAAAATATTTTCATGTTTTCAAAGAAAATGATCAGATGGCTTCCTGTGAGTCTTGTAATGTGGAAGTCAGGATTTAATATATTAAAATCAATCTGTTTGCCTAAGTTGGTGGGGAAATACAGAGTGCAGTGATCTCGGCATTTATCTCCGAAGGGGTACAATTCTAAAGGCTGTGCCTTTCAGAGAAATGTTCTCCAGATCCCCTCAAAAGTATGTACTCACAGACATACACTCCAGCTTTGCCAGAAGAACATACCCCCAGGTTTTTGCCATTCAGTTCAGTCTCTTTCTTTTGTGTCTTTACTAGCCTTGTCACCAGGTAGTCTAAACCACACAATCTCCTACTTTTTCCCACTTATCTCTCTGCCTCTCTCTGGCCATTAAACTGCTAACTCCATGAGGACAAGGGCTTTGCATTATTTGTTTCTGTATCACTAGCATTCACAAGTGTCTGTCCTATAGAAAGCAAACTTTCACATAAATTTGCTGAATTAAATGCATGGCTAAGTGAGGGATAAATGGTCCTAGTTTTGAAAACTAGTGACCATTATCTTGGTAGCTCTCCTTGCTGTGTAAGGGAAGTCAATCTTTAATATCCTACAGTCCACCTGAACAAAGGCTTTCAAAGGAGACAGAAAATTTGCAACCAAAAATATGGCCACCATCCTGATTTACCTGGGGAGATTAGCTTTCCACTTACCCAAGGTAGTGGCTACAGGATGTTAACAATGATTAAGAATGGGATTCTGGTGCAAATTGTTAGTAAGAAGGAGGAGACTAAAAATTGTAATTTTTAAAAGGGTCATAGATATTTAATTTTTGACTTAAGGATTTTCCTTCTTTGTCAGTGTGAGAAATCTCTTATGAAAGACTTGGTAAGAAATACAGCAAGTTTTCAAAGGATTTGAAGGCAACTGAATAGTAAAAAATCCACTTTCTTTCAAGGTTAAAAGCAATTATATTTAACGGATAAGTAGCAGAAATTCAAGTGAATGATTTCTATGAATTTTTTCTTTTTAAATTTGATTTATACTAATATTATGGATTAGTGGGTGAATCTACAATAAAGATAGCATATCATCAGGGCTCAGGGCTTGGCTGTGTGCAGAAATTATATATAAAGATTAAGAATAAGAAAAAGAGATTAAATAAGGCTCCCATTCCTCCTTGCAAAACTATCTCAAAAGTCTCCTAAGATTTTTCTGACCAGTCTCTCTGTCTCCACCTTTGATAAAATGATTAAATTTTGTCTCAATTAGGTTTCCTTAGCACAAGATCTGTACTTCTTTTTTAAAAAAACTGTTTTATTAAGGTATAATTCAAGTACCACACAATTCCTGGTGTTAAAGTTTACAATTCAGTGATTTTCATTGTATTCATAGGCTTGTACCACCATCACCACTGTAACTTTTACGTTTTCATCATCATCTGCCTATCCCTCCATTCTATTCAGCTCTAAGCCAGCACTATTTAACCTTCTACCCATATAGATTTCTTTATTTTATATTGTCATATGAATGGGACAGATAATATGCAGTCCTTTGTGACTAGGTCCTAGTATAATGTTTGCAAAGTTCATACATCTGTAGCCTAATTCAGCACTCTATTTCTTTTTATGGGGTGAATAATATTCCCTTGTGCAGTATAAATTTCTTTGTGTATTATTTGTTCATTCATCTGTTGATGGGCTTTTGAGTAATTTCTACCTTTGGTTATTATGATAAGGATGCTGTAAATATTCATGTGCTAGTTTTTGTATGGATATATATATATATATATATTTCCATTACCTTAGGGTATATATCTAGGAGTGGAATTGCTGGTTTACATAGTAATTTTATGTTTAGTCATTTGAAGGGTGTAGCCATCTCTAAGTTGTTCTCCAAAGGAATCTCATCATTTTACATTTCCATCAGCAGAATATGGGTGCTCAGTTTCTCCGCACACTCACCAACAGTTTATATTCTTTAACTTTTTGGTCCTAGATATCCTAGTGCATGTGAGATGGTTTCTCATCAAAGTTTTGATTTTCATTTGACTATGAATAATGACATTAAGCTTTTTATGAATTTCTGGGTATTTGTATGTTTTGGTTGGAGAAATATCCTTTAATGTTCTTCACCCATTTTAAAAATTATTTGTATTTTTAACTGATTTGTGTTCATCATATATTCTATATAAAAGAACTTTATCAGGTAGTGATTTACAGTATTTTCCATTATTTGGATCTTTTTTTTTACTTTCTTGATGGTGTCCTTTGAAGAACAAAACTGAGTAATTTTTCAAAATTAATCTTATTGGTACACTTTTAATAATGCATAATGATCACATTCATTGCAGGGAATTTGTACCTGTACAGAATATATCTTGATTCTTCTTTTTTCCTCCACCCATTTCCCCTCCCTTCAACCCTTCTTCCCCTCTTTATTTACAAAAGCTTTGTTTCCATTTTTTCCTTATGGTCTCTCTTTTTTTCCTTTTCCTTCCCTTTCTCCTAAGGTTGTATGACTATCCTTATGCCAATACTACAGTGTTTTGATTAGTATGGCTTTGTAGTAAGTTTCGAAATCAGAAAATATAAATCTTCCATTTTTTTTTCAAAAATTGTTGGCTATTTGAGGTTCTTTGTGATTCAGTATGAATTTCAGAACCAGACTATGAATTTCTATAATAAAGGAAACTGGGAATCTGATGGAGATGACATGAATCTGTAGCTCAGTTTAAGGAGTACTTTTATTTTACCGATGTTACTCTTTTAATTTATGAACATTGAACGTATTCCCACTTATTTAGGTACACTTTAATTTCTTTGATAGTTTTCAGGGTATAAGTTTTGCTTTTTTGTTAAATTTATTCCTAGTCATCTTATTCTTTTTGAAGAATCATGATTCATGTAATTATGAGTGGAACCATTTTATTAATTGTATTATCAGATGTTCTTAAGTGTATAAAAATGTAAATATAGATATAAAATATTATATAATAAAAATGTAAATTATTTTATGTATTGATCTTGCATTATGCCAACTTGATGAGTTAGTTTATTAGTACTAATAAATTTCAATGGATTGTTTAAGATTTTCTATGTATAAGATAATGTCATCCTAAAATAGTGACAGTCTCTTCTTTTTTCATCTTGATTCCTTTCATTATTTTTTCTTGCCAGTTAGCCTATCTAAACCCTCCAGTACAATGTTGAATAAAAGTGGGAAAAACAGATTTTCTTGGTATTTTTTCCCTCATCTTAGAAGTGATAGCTTCCAGTGTTTCACCATTAAGTATGATGTTAACAGTGGGATTTTCTTGAATGACATTTATCAAGTTGAGAAAATTCCCTCTATTCCTTGTTTTCCCTCCCCTTTTTAAAAAATTATGACAAGGTGCTGGGATTTTTTTTCCCAATACTCTTTTAGTATTTGTTAAGGTGATCATGTGATTTTTTTATTTTTATGCTGTTAATATGATATAGGGATTGATTTTTGGATATTAAACTTACATTTCTGGAATATAACTCATCTGACCTATTTATAAATTGTTGGATTTAGTTTGCTAGTGGTTTTTACATTTTGAAGACTTGTGTGTCCCTGTTCATCACAAGGATTGGTCTATAGTTTTTTTTATTGAAAATTTGTTCTGTTGACTCTGTTCTTTTGGGGCCTGGGGAGAAGCAGAACATCATGGCAGGGAGCAGGTGATCTGGCAAAGTGCTTTCTTACCTTATGGTAGCCAGGAAGAAAGAGAGGAAGCACTGGTCAGAATTCCCATACATTCCCTTCAGAGGGGGCATCCCTGAGCCTTCCTTCCGGAAGGTCCCAACATCCCTGCTGGTGTCACAGGCTGCTGACCAAGCTGCCAGCATATGAACCTTTGGGGGACATTTAAGATCCAAATCCTAATGTTCACCCATATCAGGTGTTAGTCTGGATATGTTTGCATTGACAATGCCCAGTTTACTTTTGCTTTCTATATGTCTCTCTATATTTTTGTTCCTTTATTCATCTTCACTTCTTTCTTTTGCCTTTCAGTAAATATTTTCTACTGTAGCAAGTTAATTTCTTGAATGATTTTTGAGTTAATCTTTAGTGGTTGCTCTAGAATGCACTTATACATCTTAACACATAAAAATTAAACTCATTTACAATATCTTAATTCTAGCGATTATTTACTTTTCTCATTTTTCTTATTTCAATATGTATTATATTTGTTAATGTTACAAACCCAAAAGTTTTAATAATTATTTTATCACCTCTATTTATTTTCTTGGCCCATTACAACTTTGCTCTGATTACTCCCTTTGTACTGTTATCTGCAAACATATCACACCTCTCCTTAGTACATTTCCATTTGTTATATTTACAAACATATAC